CTACAGAGCTTGTTCCAGGACAGGCTCCAAAGCCACAGAGAAACCCTGTTTCAAAAAACAAACAAACAAACAAACAAACAAAAAGAATTTAGTATTTGCCAAACACAAAAATCAACATTAAAAAAAGTCAGGTCTGGCACTACAAACCATAACCCCAGCTTTGCTGGAGGCTAAGGCAGGACAGCCTTATGGACTTCAGGGTAAGTTTAAGAATAACTTGGCCAAATTAGTGAGTTTATGTTGCAAAATAATAAAGCAAAAAAGAAGGTTAGGCATATAGTTCAGTGGTAAAGCACTTTCCTTCTATGTATAATGTCCTTGACGCAGTCAATGGTACAGTAAAAAGTAAAAAGGAAGTCAGGGTAAGCTGGGCATGATGGCACCTGCCTGTAGACCCAGCTGCTCGGGAGGCATCACCTGGGCTCACAAGCTCAAACCTGGGAAAGACATTGAGATTGCCTCATAAACAAAAGCAAGCAATCAAACAAAAATCTAGGCCCATTTCCATGTACTGACAACACATTTTCAGGAAAATAAAGAAAACTGCATGCATAACATATAAACAATAAAAGACTTAGCAAGGAAACTAAAGCAAGGAAGTGACAGAACCCTTCGATGAAAGTTACAAAGCTGGAGGGGAGGGGACATCCCAAGATGGGGCAGAGTGACCTCATGCCCATGAATCGACGGACTTAACATTATACAGATACATACACTACCTAAGGTACCCTGACCAATTCCATATAGTTCCTCTCAAAATACTAAATGGCATTCTTCACAGAACAGAAATAGAGAAACAAGCATAAATGTGCACAGCATCGCTAAGCATCCTTGCAGTGCTGGGGACCAACGTGAGGGCCTCTGTCTTCCAGCGATGAGCACTGCTCCACTGCACAGCAACTTCGAGCAAAAACAACAAAACGGGAAGAATCAAAGAGCCTGACTTCAAATAGATACTAGAAAGCTGGAGCACAGTCCTGGCGTACTGACACACAAGACTGCCAGGAAGGAATTGAAAACCTGTAAATCAGGCTGCACACACAGTCAAGTGAAAAAGATGGCACAGAGAAAGGATAGTCTCTAGCTAAAATGGTGCCAACAAAATGGACAGTCACATGTGCAAGCATGGAAGTAGACTCCTGCTTCCTGCAATATGTAAAAATGAACTTGAAATGGATCAACGATCTAAATCTAGGTTCTGAAACCAGGAAACTACTAAAAGACGATGGTGTGTGTGTGGGTGTGATTCTCTTAAATGACTCCCCAGGAGCACAGGCAATCAAAGAAAAGGCAGACAAATGGAATCACAGCAAAGTAAGAAGGTTGAGGAAGTACACAGGCAACCTGTAGCCAGAAGAGGTTTACAAACAAGTCATCTGACAGACGGGCAGAATCCAGACACATGGAACTTAACTGCTAATATCCCTCCCTAGCTACCTGTCTTCCAAATGAGCAAATGTTCCCAATCTAGGGGATATGACTCCAACCACATTTAGGCACAACTCGTCCCTGGCCTGTTGCTCAAGGGTAAAACCCAGCAAATGCTGACAAAGATGTAAGAGATGGTTGGGACATCGTGGAGCTCCCTCAACAAACTAAACCACCGTATGCCCAGCAAAGCCCATTCCATGGTATGCCTGAAGGAGCCATGCATAAGCCCATGTTTACCGCAGCACTGTTTCAACAGCCAAGACAGGGTATCTGCTGTGGGAGAGTCTTTTTGTACACTGGGAAGATGTGTCTCTACCAAAGCACCTCTCTGATTGGTTTAAAACAGAGCTGAATGGCCAGTAGCTAGGCAGGAGAGGATAGGCGGGACTTCTGGATGGAGAAAGGAATCAGAGAGGTGGAGATTCACCAGTGAGGAGCAGAGGAAGTCGGACACAGAGTAGAGAAGAGAGGTAATGAGGTGTGGCAGAATGAAGATTACTATAAATGGATTAATTTCAGTTGTAAGAGCTGGTAGAGAACAAGCCTAAGCTAAGGCCAAACTTCCATAATTAATAAAAGAAAAAAGTCTCGTGTCTGTGTCATCATTTGGGAGCTGGTGATCCCAAGTTTGACTATAGGTATCAACTGTAGCACCCCTGAAAAAGAATGGACACAGGCAACATAGCACACACACCAACTGCGCCTTATTAGTGACCCACAAAAACGTTACACATTTGTGACAACACAGGGAACTGAGGGACAATATATTAAGTAAAATAAAGGGACAGAAACGCATGCTCTAGTTCTACTGAGAACAAGAACATGATGCCCAAACAGCTACTCTCACAGAACCTGAGGGAGACAAGTAGTCACTAGAGGATGGAGATGGTAAAGAAAAAGGGACGATAACAGGTACCAATACAGTTAGATAAGAGCTAACTAAGTTCCAATGTTCTGTAGCTTCGTAGGATGACTAGTTCACTATCTATTATAGACTTCAAAATACCTACAAAGAGGAAATGATGCATGCTTAAGGAGACAGAAGACTAATTGCCTCAATTGGGTTGTTACACATTGTATACGTGCAGCAAATTATCACAAAACAGAGCAAAATGCTCCCAGCCCTTGAGAGGGCTAGGCTGACTCACGGCTTTAGAAACTGGCAGATAAAAGGATCAATCACGTAAGAAAAAAAAAAAAAAATCCACATGGGGCTGGAGAGACAGCTTAGTAGTTAAGAGCGCTGGCTGCTCTTCAGAGGTTCTGAGTCAGACTCAGCACTCACACAGTTACTCACAAACTGTTAAGTACAGGCCCAGCGAGTCTGATGCCCTCTCTTGGCCTCCTCAGGTACTACACATAGGTGGTACACAGACAACACCCATACATACAAAATAAGATGGGGGCTGACAGACCATGTGTGGTTTCCAGTATAGAGACAGGAAGCAGAGCACAGTTACCTGTACATGAGGTGGGAGTGGGAGCCGATAGTAACTGGGCACGAAGTAACTGGAAGATGACGGACTGGCTCTATGCCTGTACACATCTATTAAAGAATTAAAACTTCCACTTATGATCGATGTGTAAATTGTGTGTCAATAAAATTCTAAAAGGGGGGATCTAACTTGAAGAGCTAAAGTTATTCTCATAAGAGTACATGGCTTTACAGTGTTATAAAACTGAAAATAAAAGAACTCAGTATTTGACTTAGTAAATAGGAAAAAGAATAAAAAATAGGATAATTAAAATGTAAGTGGGGTGAAGGGGGTACTAAACAGGAACAGAAGAGGGGACATAATTAGCACAGATACGGAAGAGAGGAACAGATGCACTCGGAAGCCCCACACAGCTATTACTGAGTGACTATGAGAGGAAGACACAGATTATCCCAGAGTGCTTGGCCCAGCTGAGCCGACTTCATGGGCACATGGGACACCCACACTGGATTGTTTCTGAAATCCAGGCACACCAATCCTTGTCACAAGGTGATGGCAGGGGAGAGCCACATGGAAACTCGAGGGCTGCCTTCGGGAAAGACCACTGAGTGCTTCTCTCTGTACACCTTGGGTCTGACAGAAAAAGAACCGGGGTAAGGAAAGACCAATAGCAGTGGGCCAGGGGTGCCTTGTACAGCGACTCCTTGACACAGGTAAAAGCTTCCAAGACAGAAATTACACTCCAGCCTATGCTGAGTCCTTCCTGTGGGCGAAGGGCACAGGACATGATCTAACATGCCCTTACGGCAGCAAGCACCAGGCACCAGCTGGGTCATGTAAAGCAAGGCGTTATTCTGAGCCTTTCTCAACCCAGAAGCCACACCTCTGGCTTGGCAATGTGAGGAGGAGTCTGTACACACATTGCCTTACTGTCTCACCACAGAGATGTTGAGTCCCAAAGAGCAGTGGTCCGCTCATCACTGCTTGGTGCCATGCCCCTTAGAACAGGCCCTGCGTCCAGAGGTGGTCCACCTACCTGCTAGCAGATGAAGGAAAAAGCCTTTAACCCCCCTCCCCCAGGCACATCTGCATGGAGCCCTACAAACAGCACTGGGAATACAGCTCTAAGGCCAACTTCCTGCTCTCCACATACTGGATCAAGATTAATTATAAAAAGATGCATCATTATAGATTTCAGGAATGACAGACGTCTGATAGCTCTTCGCATAGTGGTCTTAGATCTCAGAACATGTAAAGAGCATCTGAGGCTCACATCTTACTATAGTTCCTTGACCCATTTCCCTTGATGAGGTCTTAAGTTATGTCAACACTGAGCCCTCCTGGAGGAAAACTTGGAGCTCAATGTTCCTCTCATGGAAAGAGGTGGTTAAGCCACTGGGAGCAGTTCCAAGTGAAGAGTCCTACTCCCTGGCTGGTCTCCAGTAAGGGACCCAGGTGTCCAGGAGAATCTGCAAAGCACTGAGCTGGTTCTCTGTCTGGGCTTTTGTGACTGCCTGTAGTAACACCTTCTGAAGGCTGGAGTTCTAACACAAGCTGGAGAATTACATGGAAGAAAAATGGCTGGCTTACTTATAGCTAAGGTTTGAAGTCCAGTCTATAGGGCCTCTGGCAATGGAATAGCATTTATCCCTAGTGTATAAAGGGACGTTGGGAGCCCATTCCACACAGAGGGATACTTTCTCAGCCTAGACACATGCGGGAGGGCCTGGGTCCTGTCCCAGATGATGTGACAGACTTTAATGACCCCCCCATGGAAGGTCTCACCCTTTCTATGAATCAGAAGAGGGATGGGATGGGGGTTGGTGGGGGAATAGGAGGATGGGAGGGAGAGGGAACTGGGTTTGATATATAAGATTGTTTCTAATTTAAAGAATGTCTCCCTATTGTCTAGTGTAGTGTTCTTGTAACACATGTAGCTATTAGAGTTTTATCCCAAAAGCTCTGGAATTAAAAATATTAGCTCAGTAGAGTTAAGTGGCATTCAATCCAAGGAAAAACTGAACCAGGAAAACTAAACAAACAAAAAACAAAAACCTGATCGATCCATAAGGAGCAGGCAAGGCTCCCCCCAGTAACAAAAGTTCCTACATTGAAAAGACAAATGAGAATTACCTTTTAAAGACGGGAGTTTTTGTAGTTCTCTGTTATTGCTGGCATTAAACCGTGAAGAATTCTGCCGTTTGTCTTTCTTAACAGGGACGACGACGGGCTGAGGGACTGGGACTTTTATTTTAGCAGATGTCGAAGACTGGACAGCCACGAGGCTGTTTTTCCTGCTGGCTATCTGTTTTCAAAAATAAAAATAAATCAATATGTAAAATAGATTATTTAAAATGACTGCTGATGCAGCACAATAGAAACAGGAAACACACACACACACACACACACACACACGTATGTGGGACAGGGCTCTTCTTACCCCGGTAACTGGAGCTGCTGGAGGTTGAGGCTTCACTCTACCCTCAGCGATCCTGGACGGCAAGCACCACAGGCACCTAGCTACTATGTCCCCTGCAGACCTCTGATTTCTTTAGCCTTTGTTTGTTTGGGGATAGTCTGACTTGACAGCTCAGGCTGGTACTGAATACACTGTATAACAAATCACATGTCCAACTAGTGGTCATCCTTCTGCCTCAGCCTCTTGAGTGCTGAGATTGGAAGTGTGGTAGGCTAGGTAACGACTGCCACAAAAAATGGTCACATCCTATAACCTGGGACATGTGACTATGTCACCTTGCTTGGCAAATGAACTTGGCAGATGTGACTAAGCTCAAGGTCACCAGAGAGGGAAAGGACCCTTGACTATCAAGATGAACAATGTCAGCAGAAAGATCCTCGTGAGGGAGGTGGGGCGGTGGAGCAAGGGGAGGAAATAAGATAGTGGAAGCTGACGTCCAAGAATCAGAGAGATATGAAGCTCACTGTGTCGTGAAGACAGGAGGGGCTGGGAGCAGAGATACAGCACCCTGCCGTACCTTCCCTTGGGTCCTGTGTCCAATCTCTGCCCTCCAAAACTGTAAGATGTGAGAGCATAGGCTCCTACACCCACCAACAGAAGCAACAGAGAGAGAACAGAGCTGACCACCTCCTGAGATGGAAAGTTCTCACAAGTTTCCTATTCTGTTCGCTGTGTACAGGTGTCTTCCCTGAGCCTAGAACTATGCATCCCAGCTTTTCTTTGCACCCTGGGCTCCCAACTAACAGGCACATCTCTGATGGTATGACAATCATCAGGGACAGACAACCTCCTTGTAGACAAGTCCAACATGTCCAGTGAGACATTACTGCAGGATGGAGAACACTCCAAGAAAACACGCAGCAGAGCTACTCGAGTCCCTTGTCAACCACACGGGTTCAGTGGATGTCTCACCACAGGGACCCTGTGGAGCTCATGCGGGCTCTGGGCACCCAGTTACAGGGATCTCTGTGCATGACCGGGTGACATGACACACTGTGGTTTCCTGCAACCATTGTCCAGATATGACAGCCACCATCTACAATGGTGAAGGCATGATGTACACAGCATGCCAGATGCACGGTGTCTGCCCCAAACAGTGGAGCACTTTCAAATGACCACTAGTGGGGCTGAAGAGATGGCTCACTGGGTCAACGTCTGCTGCCCAAGCAAGAGGGTGTCAGTTCAGATTCCCCAGAACCTGTGTAAAAGCTGTGTGTGGGATCTGTAACTCCAGTGCTAATGAGGGAACACGGGTGGAAATGGGTAGATCTGGATCCTAGGACTCACCAGCCAGCTAGCCTATCTGGAATAGTGAGCTGTAGTCTCAGTGAGAGACCCTGTCTCAAAAAATAAGGTGGACAGCGATTACAGAAGACACCCAATGTCAACCTCTGGCCTATAAACACAGACATGTGCATATCCTTCCTCTCCCCGCCTCCCACATATAAACACTGAAAGGCCAACAAGCTTCAACCTGAAAATACAAAATTCCTTAGCCCCTTCCCATCACCACACGTCCATGGAGACCAGCCACACCAACACAAGCCCCAACTGATCTGTTGTCGTCCTTGAATGCATATTTGCTAAGTAGTACTCTGGGTCTGCTTTGTTTTTAATGAGCTGCCTCAGAACACCTGGGCAGGCTGTTCCAAGACGAGACTGTCCAGGGCAGCAGCAGCAGTTCTGACCTGACAGCAGAAGCCAGGAACCCTTCCCACAGGCTGTGGCTCTACGCTCTTGGACTCTGATCCTGACATGTCTTATGATCTGATCTTGATCTCTAGGGTGCTGGTAAGGAAGTGTCATGGGCTTTTAAAAGGTGGGGCCTAAGAGGAAGTCCTATGTCACTGGGGCGCCTTCTGCTCTTGCATTGAAATGTGGCAAGATACACACACTCCAGCCATTGCCACCTGCCATTCTGTCCCCATCAGATAACATTTTCCTTTGTAAGAAGCTGTGCCTGTCGTTCACTATTGTGAGGAACAGCCAATAATCTCTCATCCGCAGCATCTGGCACAAAAAGCATGAACAGCCCCTACAGGCTGGTGAAGCTGATCAGTGGGTAAAGGCACCTGCCACCAAGCTTGACGATCCAACTTAACCCCCAAGATCCAAAATGGAGGAAGCAAAGAATCAGCTCTCACGAGCTGCCCTCTGTAACGTCCCATGCACACATGTGTGCACAGATGCAGAGACATAAATGGACAGAGGAACAACATTAAAAAGAAAGTGCCATTCACAACTCACCTCTCCATGGAGCCCTCCCCAAGTTAAAACTTATCAGTTTGGCTTTCCTGGGATGCTCCTCCAAAAGCTGGCTTCATAGTTAAAAAGAACTTGCTGCTCTTACATAGGACATGGGTTTGGTTTCTAGCACCCACGTTGGACAGTTCACATAGCCTGGAATTCCAGCTGCAGGGGGATCTGACACCTTTGGCCTCCAAGAGCATCTATACACACCCTCTGTCTGTCTGTCTGTCCATCCATTCCCCCCCCCTCACACACACACACACACACACACACACACAAAGTGGTAATATCATTTAAAGGCCCTAGAGTTTAGACTTACTGCATAGCCTCGAGGATCCTCCCAGACATCCACCTCCCTTCTTGTCTCCAATGCCCAATCCAGGACCTTATATATTATATACAAGGACCTTGACAAACCACAGGTAAAAAGACAAACGGAAACAATTGTGAGGCCGCTTCACACTACAGGGAACAAGCTGTACATCTTACATAAGACTGGGGGGTGATAGGGTTAATCCACAAAACAGGATCAAGTCAAATCCAGAGGCGATGGCCATCCTCCCTGGGAAACAAGGTGAAGTGAGGTTTCTAATGTCTGAAGAAATGAGGTTGTCCTAACCTCTGCAGATACCAGGCCATCAGCTCCCCTCCCTGGGACCCTGCCCACTTTGCCTCCCTCTGGACCTCTCCATCCAGAGCCTTCACCCTCGAGGAGGCGGAGGACTCTGGTGGGAAACCCTGGCCGCTGCTCCATGCTTGTCCACTGAGAGTTTTCTAGTTTCACGGTGGTTGCACGTCTCCTGCAGGCCTGCCCTACCACCTGTGCCCCTCCGTGAGTTCAGTCCCCCGTGGCGCCCGCACAGCCTTCCCATGTCATGGCCCATTATTCTTGACCAACACTGCCCCCCACTGGGGGACACTGGGGGGGCACATCTTTCTCCCTGGAGGACAGGGCCTGTCTGACCACTCTGTCGGTTTTGTGAGGAGGATGTTAGAGGAGCTGCCGGCCGGCTGGAAGGGCTTTCCTGAAGAAATGAGCTCACCTCCATTCCCCACCCTCGGCCATGGCCTCCCTACGGCTTTGGATCATTCCCACAGAGCGAGACAGGTACACAGAAGACTGGAAAGACACAGGTGCCATCCAGAGCAGTGAGCAGTGACAGAGAACTACAGTGCAGTGTGGCAGTAATGGGCAGATCTCTGCTTCTAAAGGACACTCCGGCTCTGTGGGCTCTGCCCTGGGAAAGCTTTGTCTTGAAGCACAGACTGGCTTTGGCAGGAAGCAGCAGCTAAGTATGGAAAACTACATGCCAGACACTGGGCAGAATCACCAAGGCTGGAGGGCTAGGCAGGCATATGAGCTGGGGAGTGGAGAGGAGACCCACAGGCAGGCAGTGAACTGAGTGGCAAGCGGCCTGCAGGGCAAAGCAGTAAGTTCAATGTGATTACATTGTCTGAGGTCCTATGTGGTGATTCTAGCACATTTGGATGAACATGCCAAAGTTACCACTCTGTTTCTCTTAAGAATAGGATGACTCAGCAGGGAGATTCTTTTTCTTTCTTTGCTTGTAATCTTGGCCACTGGCTATCCGTCATGAGACAAAAGCTCACTCACATTTGTCACTGTGCCCTGACGCGCAGGACAATTCTCTGGTCGCCCACTAGACACTTGGGAAGTCCCCTGGAGCTGGTCGTGTGATACTGGAAGTCAGTAATGTCAAGAGGAGGATACAGCGAGGGGAATGAGGAACAGTAGTGGGGAGAGTACGGCCTCACAGCAGGTGTCTTTCAAGACAGACGGACGCGTGCAATGGCTAATGGCAGCAGTAGTGCTGGGTGAGGCTGGTCTCCTTGAACAAACAGCGTGGGAGAAACTGACTACAGCTAAGATGAAGCAGGGGACCACGGATACCAGCAATGTCATGGCCACATCTGGCTGGAGAGTAAGGAGGCTGACTGTGTCTGGTGCTAGAAGGACAGGGCTCACACGAGGGAGCCACAAGAGGGAGGACAGCCAGGCTGGGCCTAGACCTGGGTCTGCAGAAGGGCGAGGATGGACTGAGGCATGCACGCCAATCACACAGTGTGTACATGTGGGTGAATAGTACAAGGTCTGCCAAGAGTCACTTTTAAGGGGAGATGAGGCAAGAATCAAGGTCTAAGGAGAAGGGTGAAGTCAAAGAAAAGGCAAAAGCTAGGAGCCTGCAGAAATGGAGTGGCTCTAGACAAGCTTCCTCCTTAAGCCAACCCACCTCGCTCAGTCAGTCTTGGAACAAGCGCGCCTCAAACAGAATCGGCCGTGAAGCCCCCACCCAGATACGCCATTATTTTCCCATGATTCTCTAACAGTCCCTATGTGGCTCCAGAGACTACACAGCTGTGGCGTTTCCTGGTACGACCATAAGTGGGAGGTTCAGGGTGTGGGTGAACTTGAGGTCCCGCAGCAGCAGTGCAGCCAGGCTTCCGCCAGCCACACCTGGCCACAGATCCCCACTTCTGGGTGATGACACAGTGCCTCGATCCTCCTTCCCTGCACTCTCCACTGAGCACCTTCTAGCACCTTCCAAAGCTCTCCC